GGATGCAGCAAGTTAGACTAGAGGATCCAAGCAGTACTCTCTGAATGTAACCATCAATGAATGAATCATACTCAGGGCAGGTCTTCACCACCCGCCGGATCGGCGGGTAGTGATCCATCTATCAGGGGTCGCTTTATCGCGTCTTGTCTAGACGCAGCTATATCGATCCCTGAACTCGCTCCCTGTCGACTCCGGAACGCCAGCTCGCGAGAGGCGGAAGCGGAGTCGACGGGGGAGCGGCAGCAGTCGACTCGCCGCTGTCCTCACGGCCAGGTAAATCGACCTAAGATACGCCGACTTCAGCTACGCTATTTGCGTAGCTGAAGTTGCGTATCTTAGGTCGACACCCTCCCCCCACCCCCCAATGTAGACCAGGGCTCAAGTCATTCAGGTCCTTATACATTGACTGAATTCACACCATCTGCTTTCTTGGCCAGGACTCTCGATGCCTAGGGTCCAGAATTTACAATGTTAAGTCAATAAAACGTCTCTTACAAAACAGAGTTAGGAAAAGGAGTGTGGGTCAATCGCAACTGTATTTTCATAGTACGGCCACACCATCATACACCCAACACTGAAATCAATTATAAAGTTTTTTTTGTTTTTAAATAATGCAGATCTATGCTGTTCCTCTTGGCTAAAGGCCCATGATGACAAGCTGTGCGTCCGACTACACAACCTATGTGTGAGATTATGGTACAAGACCGCAAGCCCCATTGTGAGCTAATGCTCAAATTAACATAAACCTGGAGTAAAAAGTTGTAACAGTTACAGGCAACATCAAAACAAGCCTTTGGGATTTTCTAATCACTCAATCAACCAATAATCAGCCAAAAGTAAAGAAAAAAACAGTCCTCCTCTCCTTTTCCAGGACTTGAACGGTAGTAATATAAACCCCAAATATGATTGAACTGACATTCGCAATCAGCAGTTTTGAAACTGTACACATCACTGGGGGAATAGTGTTTATTTTGAATCAGAGCATTTGAATCCTTCCGGAGGAAATTCAAAAGAGTATGTTCAAATGCAATGGGTTGCTGTTCACCTGAGATAAGACATGAACACATCCAGTTTCTTCTGTAAATAACTCTCTTTATATACACTAGCTTTGTACACTTCTGCTAGAAGTGCTCCTAAACATCTTTCAATCCTAAATCCCTTTACACCTGTCCAGCTATTTATTGAAATCAGGGCCAGCTCCAGGCACCAGGCAACCAAGCTGGTGCTTGGGGCGGCACCTGGAGGGGGGCGGCGCGGCGCTCCGGCCGCCGGGGAGAGCGGGGCCATGGCCGGGCTCACCGCCCTGCCCCCGGCACTCTGGCCGCGGGGGGGGGGGGGGAGAGCCGAGCCCCCGCCGGGGCTCGCCGCCCTCCCCCCGGGGCTCCGGCCGCCCAGAGGCTTTTTTGCCTGGGGTGGCAAAAAAGCCAGAGCCGGCCCTGATTGAAATGTAGGTCTTGAAAACCTTTTCTCCAGAGAAGTCGAAAGGACTCAGGATACAAATAATGGGATATAGAGCGTTTCATCTCTATGATATATCGCTGGCACAAATTCATCCTGGGTCTAGTAATAACCCAAATCTCTTACTGTCTGATGGTTGCTGGTGGTCTCAGTCCAAAACCCTAGTTAACAAGTATTCACGTAACTAAAACCAACGCTGCAACTGGCCCTTAACTTGTCCCACTGTTGGCAATTTCAACAAAAAGGCCAATGAATGAATGAAGATAGAAAACAAAGTACCCCTAGAAGAGGAAATTTTCTCTCCTTGAGGTGGTACATCCAGATCAGATTTGAAGTACATTGGCAGGACAGTGTGGGGAAAGGAACTTGCACACTGCCACTGACAATGATGCTTCTGTCCTGTCAATAGAGGACTTCAGTCTCCGGGGCTGACAATCCAGCTCTTTTTGCAAGCACAACATTCACTGAGACCCAGGCACACACACATCCTCCTTATTTGCTGACATCTTTGCAATCTTAACTGAAAATACATCATATTTTAGAGTTAAAGAATCTTCAGAATCTGAAATATTTTAAAATTGATTCTCAGTGAGATACAGCACTTGCAATATTCTCTTGCTGTCTCGCATAGAATCTGTTAGCTATATCTTGCATATGCTTTAAAAATAAAAACAAAAAAACCAGGCCATGATAAGAGGGATAGGATCTCAGGTGAAAGCCATCCCCTATTTAATTATCAGGTATGACTTCATACACTAGCAATAACAACTAACCCCTCTGTAGGAAGATTCTAATCTCAAATACATGGTTGTATATCGCCGCCTACCTCCAAAACTCCACCACTATGCCTGCGTGCGCAGGCGCAGTGATCGATCTTTCAAGGCGTACTGTGCATCCACAATTAGAACCTGATTTTTAATGTCAGTTTCCTCTCCCCATCACCCAGCAATGTTTGTGACCTCAGAATTTCATACCAGGGATGACAGCCTGAGTTTGTAAAACTTGCTATCAGACAAGCAGGATCAACAGTGGAAAATCAACTATAACAGATAGTCCCAGAGTACGCACAATCATCTGAAGTAGTTAACTCTAATGGGAGAGGAACCGCAGGACAATAGAATATTTAACTCCTGTGTGTCTCTTGGCAACATACTAGAATATGCAATTTTAATTATTTTGTTTAAAAACTTGTTTGCAATTCTTTCCAGTTGTTTACAACCAAAACGCAAAATCAAGGAGACTGATAAATTAAGAGATGGGTTGCATCCTTTACGAAGACACTGCATCACATGGAGGAAGTCAGCTTTTGAAGTAAAAGGGAGACCAGTTAAATCTCAGGGCCAGACAGTGGAAGTTCCCTAAACAAATACTGAGGGAGGAATACAGTTGGGTTTATGAGTCAAGTTCCACTCTGAGAATTCCTGCTTTATATACAGTCCACCATCTGTTACACAAAGGGGCCAAATTGTGCTCAGTGAAACTCCATCAGAGTTAATGGGATAATGGAGCAGGGGAGGGATAGCTCAGTGGTTTGAGCATTGGCCTGCTAAACCCAGTGTTGTGAGTTCAATCCTTAAGAGGGCCATTTAGGGACCTGGGGCAAAAATCTGTCTGGGGATTGGTCCTGCTTTGAGCAGGGGGTTGGACTAGATGACCTCCTGAGGTCCCTGCCAACCCTGATATTCTATGAAATGGTGACATTTGCCCAAGGTTCTCAGTGAAGACCGTTCCTGAGACAGATGATAGCCAGAAAAGAAGACATGGAGAGCAAAGCCAGAACATATTCTCTCTGGCCATGTACCACCACATAAATGATAACATGGGCATATTTTCATAGAAAGTACTAAACTCTCAAATACTTTATCACCTTCTAGTCAGGTTTACCCCTCTCTGAGACATTTTATGATTCTCTATATGACTTAATATACAAATGAACTGTATTGTGAAACAAATGACAATTGTTTCGTTTAAAGCTCTACACCCTCAGTGAAAACAGCTCCCTTTCCCTCTACCCATGTCAATTAATGTATTGGGGCTTATTACCATTGTTCTGTCTCCAACAGGGTTGCAGCTAAATAGCTAATAAAACTAGTTACAGAAATAGTGATACTTTCATAGCGCAGCCAGGCTTAGTCACCAGTCTGACCAAATAAATAAGTCAGGAATCCTGGTATTTTAATAGATGATGAAAGTACACTGTCAGCAGATTGTCTAGGTCCAAAGTTCAATGACTTGTATGTTCAGCCTCCAAGGAATTGTAAATCTCAATGCAGGGTTTAAACTCAAACACATACAAAACCCAAAGCTGTACGCAAGGCATACCTCAAGCCACACACCCCTCACAGCTAGATGCAGGTAAATCTCAATGCCACACACAAGTCTAATCTGTAGACAGGTGAATCTTGGCAAACGCACACATACACCCTGCAAGTCGCATACAGGATTTACTTTGAATAGATATTTACTCCATCTCCATGCACTATGTGATTGTCTCCTAGGAGCTGACTGTGGGGGATTCTCGCCAGCCCCTTCATAGCAGCTAAAGTGTAAATCTATCCAAGCCATGTTGTGGTGATTGCTTTCCGGAGTCCCACCTTTGGACTCACCAGGGCCAGTGAAAAACTGAAGTTCCTATGTGATTGCTCTGGGTAACTCAGTGACTCATCCCCAGCTCTTTTCAAGGGGAGAAACGCATTCAGCCTCACATCCCGGCATAGGTGCTGGAACTGGGGTGCTGCCGCACCCCCTGGCTTGAAGTGGATTCCATCATATACAGGGTTTACAGTTTGGTTCAGTGGCTCTCAGCACCCCCACTACACAAACTGTTCCAGAGCCCCTACATGGCAACTTAGATTCTTACCCTCTTCCTCCCCCCACTTAGCTCCCCCCACTTCCAATGGTTCTGGGGCGCAAACAGCACAAGGGGGGGGGGTGTTTAAAGACTGACTTTCAGTGGAAAGCCACCAGGGTGAACTGAACCTGGCCGCTTAGGGCTGCCCCTCCCCCTCTCCCCAAAAGCCGAGCTCTGCCCCCTTTCCAGGCGCTTAGGAATCGGACCAGGATCCTGTCTAAACGGCTGTAAGAGGAGAGGATCAGCCGCATTGATTCCCTGCCTCTCAGGCAGCGGGTGCCCCCGTGCCCAGCCCTGAACCGAGCCCCACGCCCACCCCTTCCGAGTGCGCTCCGCGCCCCAGCGGAGACACAACCGTGTAAACAGAAAACGCAACTCCAGTTCCTCCTCGGCGCAAAACCCGGACCCGGGTCCAGACAGACCCCTCTGCAGCAGGGGCAGATGCACGAGGGGGGCCAGGCTCTGGGGACACAGACGCCAAGGTAGCAGGGCTGGGATGACGGGGGGGTTGCAAAGCAGCCGCCCTCTTCCCCGCTGATCAGCCCCACGCCAACCCGGGGCAGGGTGGGTGGGTTTGGGGGGTCTGTTTCTCCCAGTCACCCCGCAGGGACACCTGGTAGCAGCAGCAGGTGGCGGCCGAGGGCGGGGGGCTGCCCCCCCCCACTCATCTCCCCCCCAGCTCAGTCCTCACCTTTCTGGCTCCTCGCTTAGCAAACTCCCTGGCCAGGTGGCGACCGATGCCTCTGCCCCCGCCGGTGATCAGCACGTTCTCCCCGGACAAGTCCCGGAGCCTGGCCGGCAGCAGAATGCACACGGCAGCTTTGAGCACCAAATAGACCATCTGCACGGGGAAAAGCAGCAAAGCGCCCAGCCATTTCCAAACCATCCTCTTGATCCAGGCGGGGCAGGAAGACCCCAAACCCCCAAAACTGTTTCAGCCCTTCACAAAACCAAAGCAAGAGAGTGTGAAGGGCAACACGCCCTCTTCCTTCCCCCACCAATAGGGGGAACAGTCTTCAAGCCCCTTCCAAAACCTGGGGAGAGAAAACCTTGGCCGGGAAAGATCCTTCTCCCCCCTTCCCACCAGAAAAAAACAACCGTGGGGGGTAGGAGTAAAATGGTGCAGAAGATAGTTGCTTCCCCTCTCTCGCTGCTCAGCTCCCTTTGGGATTGTCACATGCAGGTACAATGTTTTTCTACTGGAGGAGGACAGAGAGTTTGTTTAAGTTAAAAAGAGAGAGAGAGGGAGATGGGGGGTGGAAGAAAAAATAAACCCCACCAACCCCTACAGTTTAAAAGTGCAAAATTAAAATCCAGTTTCCCAATGGCAGGGTTTTATTTAAAAACAAACAAACAAACAAAAAAATGAAGCAACCTAGGTCTCCAAATTTCAGCCTGCAGTGCCTTCCAGACAGCCCATTTCTATTCTTAGACTCAGGAAATTGCTTAAGGCTTGCCAGCACTTTCTTTTTAAGAAAGGGTCTATTCAGTGTAAGGTGGTTGTCGGTTTCTTAAATAGATATATACATATAAGTATCTACAGGCACTTCTCTTCTGAGCCTGGTGCAAAAGGCAGAGCTGATTAATTCTCTCCCCCCCTTCTCCTGTTTCTTTCACTTGGAGTATCTGTGATCACAGACAGGGTTAGGCTGCGCACGGTTTCAGCTCTGGTTCTTATTCATTTCTCCCCATTGCTCTCTCTGCCTATCACAGCTGCAGCGCCGGGGAGGTTTTATACCCCATTGAGCCTGATTGACAGTTAAAGTGTTGGGGAGATTTTACTACTGTTTCTGAGTGGCTGGCTTTGCTCTCCCCTCCCCCCAGAGCTATCTCTGAGCCACTGCACATAAACTCACACACACACTGAAACAGACACTCTCTGGGTTGCAAGCCTGCAAGCCAAGACTTGCTGCATGCCACGTTGGGCTTGTGGTTGTAATTGAAGAGCATTGTAACAGAGAGAGCCAGCTAACCTCCTCCTCCACGTTAATAAATTTCAGATAACTGCAGTGATCTTACTTGAGCTCAACAAAAGCAAGAGAAATTGGGGTTAAGGGTCAATTCAAGGGACTCATCTGTTCCTAAGAGTTTCAGCTTAATGTGGGGTAGAAAGGCAGAGGATCCCCTGGCAAGGCTAGGAAGTTGGTAATTGGGATAGACGCTTTCACCCCTTGGTTCCTGGTCTGGATCCAGGCAGCAGAGGCTGGTTAAGGACTGAAATCTGTTACCATTTGATGGTTGCTGTATGGAATTAATTTGGAAGATTTAATCCAGTTCCTAGTGGACCAAGTTCACAACACAGGAGTCAATGAGAACTGGTTTCAGAGTAGCAGCTGTGTTAGTCTGTATCAGCAAAAAGAACGAGGAGTACTTGTGGCAGCTAAGAGACTAACAAATTTATTTGGGTATAAGCTTTTGTGGGCTAAAACAGAGCCAGGGAGACTGCTTCCCTCAAAGGGAGTCACTTTTGGTCACTTCATTTGCCTAAAGGGGAGTGGAGCTCCTTTGAAACTCTGCCCATTCATTTTCCCTTCACTTGTCCCAGGCTTTAGCCCAGATACAGGGCAAGGTTACAACACATTTAGGTCACATCAATACGATAAAGCCATGTTGTAACTGGGTGAAGGGGCAAATGTGTTGTAATCAGGTCTCTTGACTTGGTTGTTTTGCATTGGTCAAGCAAGTGTTTGGTTGTTTTATATTCAGTTCCATGGTGTAAGCGCTCTTGAGGAGGGTCTGTTTGCACATTCGCTAAGTATACACAGCTAATAATTGTGGTTACAGTTAGGAATGCTCATCTCATTCACAAACAACGAGGAGTCCAGCGGCACCTTAAAGACTAACAGATTTATTTGGGCATAAGCTTTCGTGGGTAAAAAAACTGGGTTTTTTATGCCCAAATAAATCTGTTAATGTTTAAGGTGCCACCAGACTCCTCGTTGTTTTTGTGGATACAGACTAACACGGCTACTCCTCTGATACGTGCCATCTCATTCATGTGGAGCTAAAAACAAAGGATGCCGTTCTCCGCCCTGCTATTTTTATCAATGGTGTCTTTGATTCAACAACCTTGGAAAAAGCTGCTTTTTAAAATGACATTGTTATGATTGCATATTTTGTGTAAACCAGTGATGGAAAAGGTAAAAGTAAAGGCTTTACCAAATTAAGTCCACAAACGAATTTTCATATGGAGTTCATCTTTCTTTATCTGTTATACTGGGAAGCCATCTAGTGGTCAAAAAGAAAATGGAAATGACTGATCTGGAGCAGTGAATTTTGAACGGTTAGGGGACACGTTCAGATTGACATTTATTAAGGGAACAAACACTGTCGATTTGAATTACTTTTAAAGTGGGCTGGTCTGAAAAAAAATCTGTAGTTAAGTACTTAGGTTAGATTTTTCAAAAGCACGGAAATGATCTGAGCCTAAAAATCACTGGGGTTTATTTAGCCTCCTGAGTCATCTTTGGGCAGGTCTACACAGCATATTGGAGTAAGCCGCCCAGCCAGGGTCGATGCCCTCTAGGGAGGAGATGGGCTTCAAAGCCCAAGCTCCAGCTCCAGCTATAACTTCAAAGCAGGGGCTATACAGCTATTTTTAGAGACTAGCGCTAGCCTTGCTAGGCCCGGGTCTGTCAATCTGGACTGGGAAGCTTGTTCTCGTCAGCTGTGTAGACATACCCTCTTGCGCTTTTGACAATGTTCCCTTCACATAAAAGTGGACTTATGCCAATGGGAACTTGGTGCTCACATAAGATCACCCGTATTTAAGTGCTTAAATGTGGATTTAATATCTAATTTGAGGCACCCACATTTGAAAATGTTGGCTATGTGACTTGCTCAAGATCATAAAGCCTGGACTGTGAGGGCCAGAACCCAGCGGTCCTGAATCTCAGCCCCATCTTGGTCCATTAAACCACAAGGGCCCTCAGAAAGAATGTAGGATTTAAAGAGAAACCTTCATCACAATCCTAATCCTTAAATGCCAGATTACTTCACATGAAGCAGGCCATCTGACTGCCATCATACGGCACAATACCCTCAGGAGAGGTTATTTGGGAGAGATGAAAATCTAAACTTTCTAACTGCGGGAAAGGACACTCTAGATTTTAAAAATGAGATGGCTGCCCTAACCTAAGAGCGTATGAAACGAGTCGCAGTTCAGAGAGCTTCTTTTGCCACTTGGCAGCATTTAGCACCTCCGTGTTATTACAGCGATATTTTTAGAAAGTGAGCGGTTGGAGGCCACCTGGTATTGCAATTTTCGTCTCCATCCGACAATTCTGGAGGGGAAAAAGAAATTACATAGAGGGCCTAGTGTCTGGTTTGAACAAGGAGGACTCAGTCTCTGGGCTGGTAACAAAAGTAGCCACCTCCTGGTGCGGAAGTAAGGGGCAGTGGTAAAAACGAAGGGAGAATAAATGACAGTTTATTCAAGGGAGGAGGAGTTTTTATGTAATTTATTATATTTATATATAATTCGCTCTGTATATTGATCTAGATACAGAGGTGTGTGTTTAAAAAAGTTTAAAAAAAAAGATGAAAACATCTGCTGACATTACTCATGCATTTGAGTCAAAGGGCTAAATTCAGCTGTGCTTTACAGTACATGCCGTGCTTTGGATGTCAATGGAACTACTCTAGTGGATACCTCACATATGTGTCTACGGTTTGAGTATGCTAGGGAATACTGGAAGAATAGTCAAGTATTATTTTATTATTTGCTTTTTTACTCTGTGAAAATTAAGCCCAACATTTAGATTTGGAGTAAAATCAACCAACCAACCAACCAAAAACTCCCAAAAGCCAGCAAACGGTTTTAGATATTTAAACAGAAGTGTTTTCATAATTTCTTTTTCAAGGTCAATGAAAATATGGATTATGTTTAGTATGGGTTTAAGCTTCCCCTGCAGCATTTGCAACACAAACGGCTTTGTGCAAGTGCAGAAAGTGAGGCAGGCAGATTGATAATAAAAATGAAGTGACTAGTCTGTTTTCTCCAGAATGAATGTCGTGCAAAAAGTAAAATAATAAAGAAGTGAGGTGAGGCTATTAGATTGTAAAATTCTTTCCGCTTTAAAAATCTAGGGTGTTATAGAAAAATTTAAATATATTCTTATCCTGACAGCATCTTTTAAAATACCATTCTACACCGAAAGATGATGAAAAGTGGTATTCTGGAATTTCATGTTATTGTCAGTGAATGCACATCACATTTTCTTATTTTACGAGAGACTTTTTTTTTTAATCCCCTTGCAGAAATCAAACTGGGTTCAAACGGTCAAGCTGAGCTGTTTCTTTCTGGACCATCATCATCAGCAATAAACATTCTGCAGGCTAAATTATCCCCCCTCAGTTATACCAGTTCATCCAAATTGCTTTCAGCAAGTTTACACAGGTGTAAATGATTGGAACACAGTACACAATTCTTTGGTCGATACTTACTCCAGGTTTATGTTAATTTGAGCATTAGCTCACAATGGGGCTTGCGGTCTTGTGCCATAATCTCACACATAGGTTGTGTAGTCGGACGCACAGCTTGTCATCATGGGCCTTTAGCCAAGAGGAACAGCATAGATCTGCATTATTTAAAAACAAAAAAAATCTTTATAATTGATTTCAGTGTTGGGTGTATGATGGTGTGTATACCATCGACCACAGAATTGATCATTGCCTGTTAGGTCCACTTCCTCTGGGGCACCTGGCATTGGTCACTGTCGGTAGACAGGATACTGGGCTGGATGGACCTTTGGTCTGACCCAGTACAGCCATTCTTATGTTATGTTCAGTGAAAACATTAACAGAATCCAGCTCCTTCGCAGTTGTGCAGGCTTTTAGAAATAAAAAGCAGTTAAAACTTGTTTGTCACTAGAGCAGATGTGCCTCTGAATACAAGCCACTTGAGTAACAAGGTGCCATTTTTCATAGTACAACTGCACTTTAAACAGGCTCAGGAAGTATGTTCAACATGCGCAGCTAAGTCCTGATCCCGTAGTGACATAGATGTGGGTGGAACCTGCACCTGTATATAGCCCTTTTGTTTTCAGTGGGCCCCAAGACAGGCATGGTGGTCTGCCTTTGCACACATAGTCGCAAAATGTCACAAACTTTCTCAAAGAAAAGGAGGGGAAACGGAGAAGCATGATCAGAAGAGGGCGAGCTTTTCTGCCTTTTCAGTTTGCTACTTTTGAGAGCTTTGCTTTAGAAGCATTCTTTAAAAACAACTATACATTGTCAAATAATACGCTGTCAGCAGAGCTGAAAAAAACCCTTTGGACACAGACCAGAGCTGTTACAAAATGGAAAATTTTTATGACAAGTAGCACTAGCTTTTTACATCATGCAGGGTGCCCTACTATGGGCACTCCAGGTCACTGATTAAAATTAAACCTCTTTAGAAAAAAGAAAGCTCTTGCCAAGTTGAGCTGTTTTCTGTTCCATGAAGTACTGCTGTCACAACTGGATAAATCAAGAACTGATTAAAATGACCTTTCTGTGTTTCTTAATTTTGTTTCCCCTTGAGTTCACATTTTCCCTTTGAAACATGTGTCAATGGCACTATGATCTCACAGTGTCCTTCTGTGTAACTATCAAGGGCCTGATTCCATTTTCATGTAACTCAATGGCAAAACTCCTATTGACTTCAGTTAGGAACAAGATTGGGCCTTTAATTCTCTAGCTCTAGCACAGGGGTGGCCAACCTGAGCCTGAAAAGGAGCCAGAATTTACCA